GTGCTGAGCCCCGCGGGGCCGGCAAGACAAGGGCAGCGCCGTCAGGGGAAGGCGCCCGGCCCGGCCCGGCCCGGCCCGGCCCGGCCCGGCTCGGCCCTCCGCAAAGCCAGCGCCCAGCGATCCCCCTCGTAAGCGCTGTTTGCAACCGGCCGTCTCATTGCTCTCCCGCCCGCGGTCAGCGCTTTGAACTCTGCAGTTCGGACGCAAAAGAGTTTGGGAGCTGCAGGGCCAAGGGCTGCGAGATAAATCAACAAGGAGCAAAACTCAGAGGGGTCAGAGTGAGAAATAGCTGCCTCTCCGAAGTAGGTTCCGGGACTTCTCGTGCCCTGTTACTCCTCATTAACGCTATCGCGCTTTATGTGCGCGGGCTGCGATAGCAGTGACACGTTCCCCGCCGTGTCCGTGACCGGGGACGGCGGCTTGGCGGGCGAGGGCTGGCCGCAGCCCCCGCACCAGCGAGCAGGGCGGCCCGCACCCTCCCGCCGCGGAAACCTTCCTGGGAAACCTGACGGCGTTATTTTTTAACTCCGGGTCCAAACCTCAACTCCGAAAGTATCGCAAAAGATGATTTTTTTTTGAGCTACTTGAATACCACACACACACATACAAAGGCTACCATCGTTAAGAGTATTTATGGCAAGATAATTTTTATTTCGACTTGCTGTCAGTTAATCCTTTTAAAATTACTGTAACAACACTTCACTCAAAATATATGCCTCAACAAGGCACTTGCAAGAGCACTGAAAAGATGGGGTAGGGGAAGACCTATTACAAAAGGCAGCCTTTTCCGCACAAATTGTTAGGTTTTCATCTGGAAATAACTTCTGCTTTAATGCAAAGGACACTACAGAGTATCACTTTTTGCCATCTTATCTTCAATACGAATGCAATCTACTGTTAGGTTGACAGCGTCAGCGTTTAGGAACCTCACTCGCTCTAATTAGGAAGAGATTAAAAATAAAACACACTTTTAGATTTAGCCACTAAACCCTGTAGGTTAATTTATATACACAAGCACACACACACACATACATGCGTACACAAACACACATCTGACATATAAATAATAAAAGCCTTAGTATAGAGCAACTCAGTATAACATGTAACTGACGCACCTTTTCGGAACTGGTAAACTGATCATCTCAGTGAATGTTAAAAAGATTTTGGTTGTTTTATGCAGTTAAAAATCTTCTGTACAATAATGAAGACCTTGTTCAGCTGGCAGACTGCCTGCCTGCGCTCCCAGCTGCAGTCCCCAGACACTGATCTCCCTCGGGATGAAGGCAGGGCGCGTTTGGAGGGCCCGGCATGGGCAAGGCAAGCCTTGGGTTGCAGGTCGCACCAAGGCTAACAGGCATAGAGGCAACCTTTTCTCTCCTCCTCCCCCAATATCGCTGCACTTTACTAGCAGATCTTGCAAGCAACACTTCAAATTACTCACTTAGCCCAAATTAGTCCTGTATCAGCGCATCTAACTGTCATGTTGGTAATGTTTTACTTTACTGTAACACCCAATTTGAGACTGTATTGCACAATGTTTTGTCATTTACGCTGCAAAATAAATAAAGAGGAAGGCACGGATTACTGTGTGTACAAGGGGAAGCTAAAACGCCCAGCTTCAGTGACAGCTTTCAGCAGCCCAGCGTGGCAGGCTGGATAATATTGATACAAGCTCTATTTTCTTTCATTTTATTGTTTTCCATCTCCTAATAAACCAAGGTAGCCTCTTGACCCTAGTCAGCTGATCTGCATCACATGCCCCGGGTTGCTTTGCTGCTCTCCCTGCCTCGCCTCCATCTTCCCTCCGTCCCTCGCCGCTTTAAAGGCTCATCAATCTTCATCTAGGTCGCTCAAGTAATTATGCCCCATTCTCTTGTACGATTACAAGTGGATTTGGGTTTCTATTCCCCAGGCCCCCTCTCTTTGTGTTTACAGAAGGGGGATCTGTAGCGGCAGCGGCTCCCTGCCCTGCAGAAGCACTTGCCCTCTGAAGCAGACCATTCCCACCTCTCCTTTAACCCTTCCCCAGCAGCGCCGCGCAGAGCCGCCACTTTGCCCTCGCCCCCTTCGCCCTACGCACGGCGCCGGGCTTAGGGCCTTTGTGCGAACAGAAATCCGCCTTCAGAGGATGCGTATTGGAAACAACCCGATAGTCTATCATTTTAAGGAGGCGTTTGTGGGCTTTACTGAATCCCAGAAGGATGACCATCAATTTAATCCAATTACCTCTTTTCCCTGGTGTTGTGTGGCTAAAATATAAATAAAGTCACCAGGACTTAATGGCCAAAAGGCCAGACCCATAGTATGAAATTCTGGAGAAGACAATGGGTGCACCCGGCAAGTAGCTGCGTGGGCGTGTTAGCGAAACACGCTCACACATACGGGAGGAGGGGGCAGAGCTGCAGAAAAAGGGGGGGGGGATATGGAGGGGAAGGGGATATTCACTTCTTAGCCTGTTACTAAATACAGGAGAAATCAGGGAACTCTGGCTTCCTCCTTCCCCTCCCGAGAACAGACTCGGGGCTCCCAGACCGGTACCTTGGCATCTGCCCTGGTTTCTAGTCAAATGACACCCTAGATTTGTTGCAATGTAAACATGTCAAAGGTATTAAAATGCAACGAGGAGCAAGCATTATTGTGCCTTGCAGACGACAAAACGTTTGATTGTTGTTTTTTTTTCTCTTTTTTCTTTTTTCTTTTCTTTTCGCAAAGAAAAGCAGAAAGCGTTTTCCAAACACTGGCCAATTTATGGGATGATTTGGGGGGCTGGGGGTGCAAACTAAGTTTAAAAAAATCTTTATAGATTTTTTTCTCCTGAAAGCACAAAATGAAAAATATTCTGTGTTAACAGTGTATCATTTTTACACTTGTCCTTTGGAAATCTCCAATTACAACTTCCAATTCCACAGCATGTTTAAGAAGCAGTGAGTCTTTTTGTTGTAGCCTTCAGGGAGCAAACCAGCCACTGAGAGAATACGAAATTAATCCACTACAGCTATAGAGAGAGAGGATTATGTTTTAATCCCCTTTGGGAGAGTCTCTGGATTTTAAGGATCCGATATGAAAATGTTTACATAACGCATAATCAAAACACTGCAGATTTTCCATATGGCACCGAGTTCCCGGGAAGCTTTGGGTCCTCTTCCAAAACGCAATTGCTAATCTACCGCCAGGCGAGCCGGGCACACCTGACGCCGAGCAGCCGCCGGATGGACGGGCAGACCCCGAGCTCGGGCTCCCGGCGCCCC